ATAGAATAGAATAGAATAGAATAGAATAGAATAGAATAGAATATAGAATGGAATGGAATGGAATAGAATAGAAAATAGAATAGAATATTGAATGGAATAGAATAGAATAGAATAGAATAGAATAGAATAGAATAGAATAGAAAATAGGAATGGAATGGAATGGAATGGAATGGAATGGAATAGAATAGAAAATAGAGTAGAAAATAGAATAGAATATTGAATAGAATAGAATAGAACATAGGAATAGAATAGAATAGAAAATAGAATAGAAAATAGAATAGAATATTGAATGGAATAGAATAGAATAGAAAATAGGAATAGAATAGAATAGAAAATAGAATAGAAAATTGAATGGAATAGAATAGAATAGAAATAAAACTGTAATAGAATAGAATACAGAATAAAATACAGAAATGGAATAGAACAGAACAGAACAGAACAGAATAGAATAGAATAGAATAGAATAGAATAGAATAGAATAGAATAGAATAGAATATTGAGAATAGAATAGAAAATGAATGGAATGGAGTGGAGTGGAGTAGAGTAGAATAGAATAGAATACTTTATTGGCCAAGCGTGATTGGACCCACAAGGAATTTGTCTTTGGTGCAGAAGCTCTTAGTGCACAGAAAAATGAAAAATAAAATACGTTCATCAAGAATCATATGATACAACACTTACTGGTAGTCTTAGGTTACTAATAAGCAATCAAAACACACTAGGAAAACAAATAAAACAATATAAATCGTAAAGATACAAGCAACATAGTTATAGTCCGAAATGGGGGGGAGATAGGTAACAGGAAGGACGAGAAGAAGAATAGTAATAGTCTTACTAAGTAATTTGACAGGATTGTGGGAATTAGTTGTTTAGCAGAGTGATGGCATTCGGGGAAAAAATACTCTCCTCGTGTTTAGTGGTTCCGGTGTGCAGCGCCCTATAAAGGCAGCCCCGGGTTGCATTGGCCTTTTGGGGCTGCTGCCACACATGGCTGGCTCACCTGTAAAGTGATCGTCCACTGGGACGCCAAGGTCCCTCTCGCTCAGAGTTCCTACCCTTGACCCACGCGTGTCCTCCTCCCAACCCCTGGTGCCTTTGCATCGTCATCAGGGGAGAGCAAAGGGATTGTAACTTTAATCCCCCCACACACACACACACACGCACACACACAGAGACAAGAGATCTGCCATCCCAGGCTTCACACTGACTGACGTCTGCCAGTAGATTAAGGCTAATCAGGACGGTCGGCTCAGGCGCCGGGACAATCCGAGGCCCAATTCCCCAGGTCTCTGGAGCTTTCATCCTGGCCTTCTTTGGGGGGCAGACAGCTCAGCCTTTGGGGAGGGAGGGGCAGGAGATTCAAAGGCCTTCCTCCCCCCCCCCCCCTCCCCTTGTTGCCCACCCCTCTCCTCCCAGCCTCGCAGCCCCCGAAGCTGTCACGTCAGGGGGCGAGGTGGCTTGGCTTGAATCCTTCTGCGGGGAAGGTCACGGGAGACGGTCTCGGTACGTCCCAGATTTGGAGGGTTCGGTTCGGAATGGGGGAACAATCTGGTTCCCCCCCTTTTGTGCTTGGGTTAGGGTTAGAATAACCGAGTCGGAAGGGACCTTGGAGGTCATCTAGTCCCGGCAGTTGCACGCCAAAACTGGCTTTGCTTTTTCGGAGACCTGTCACCTGCCCTGGTTCAGGTGTATTGAATGAGGGAATAGACCACAGAATCTTGGGGTTGGAAGGGACTTTGGAGGTCATCTAGTCCAGGGCTCGCCAACCTTTTGGACCTCAGGGACCACCAAACTCATCGTTTTAAATCCCGCGGACCAGAGACCCTGGGAAAACCTCCCAAAAAAAGTCTGCGGGAAAATCCCCCACCCCGTTTTCCTACCGATCGATCGTTCTTTATTTGGGATTGCAGGAGACCATCTCCAGCTCCGTTTTCAAGGGGAGAGAGAGAGAGAGAGAGAGAGAGAGAGACTTTTGGCTTCACGCAAGGAAAGCAGCAGAAGCCGCAGAAGTCTTTCTTTCTCTCCCCCCAAACTCCGCCAGAAATGAGTCTTTGCAGCCTCTTGGAGCAGGAGGCCTAGCAGGGTCCCAAAGACTCACTTCTGGCAGAGTTTGGGGGAGAGAAAGAAAGACTTCGGCTGCTTTCCTTGCGTGCAGCCAAAAGCAGAAGAAGGAAGAAGCAGAAAGAAGCAGCCCGGTGGCCAGGCCAGGCGCGTGGGGCACGTGGGGCAAGTCCTCCCCTTCCACCCTTTCCCCCCCTCCCCTCACTCCTTCGTATTTTCACAATGCAAGCGACGCAAACCTTGTATTCCCGCAGGCCATGTGGGCGCCGCAGCCTCGTGTTCCCGCGCAGCCTGGATTAATTGCTTTGGGGGGGATATTTCTATGCGGACCACCAAAATTTTCTCATGGACCACCAGTGATCCCTGGCCCACCGGTTGGCGACCCCTGTTCTAGACCAGCCCGCTGCTAAAGAGGGTGTTGTTATGGTTGGATTGGAAACCAGCTCCTTCACACCCTAGAACGGGTTTTACAGATACAACCCCAATTTAGCCCGTTGCTAAGCAAGATAGTCGTGAAGTGAGTTCGGCCCCATTTTACGACCGACTCACATTTACGATGGTTGCCGTGTGCCCCTGGGGGGGGGTGGGGGTGTCACGTAATCCCCTGTTGCAAATTCCTGACCCGCGAAGTCAACGGGGGAAGCCAGATTCGCTTCACAAACCATGTCACCCGCTGAACAACTCCAGCGATTCCCTTTTAACGACTTTCATCAGGAAAGGTCGTAAAATGGGACAAAATTCATTGAACACCTTTCTTGTTTCGTAGTCGGGAACTGTCGGGCTCAACTGGGGACTCTCCGTACTGATGCACTGGCGGTCCTTAACTTTCGAGCACAATTGAGACCAAAACGAGACTTAAAGAAGAGTTAAAAAAATAAAATAAAATCTCATTTCTCCCATTACGACCGCCAAGGGCTCCGGATTTGCCTGCTGTTTTGGTCTATTTCTCGTTCCGCAAACCTGAACCGGGGCGGGCAACAGGTGTCCGAAAAAAGCAAACCCAGTTTTGGTGTGCAGGTGCACAACAACACAAAAGAGAAAGGGGAGATTGCGTGCGAGGGTCTATCATACCATTTCAGGGTCTATCGTACCATTTCAGACACACAGTACGGGGTAGTCCTCAACCTACGGCCCCAATGGAGCCTCCCCCCCACAATTTCTGTCATTAAGCGAGATGTTTCTTAAATGAGTTTCGTCCCATTGTACGGCCTTTCTGGCCGCAGTCATGAAGTGAAATTGCTGCGGTTGATAAACGTTAGTAACCCGGTTGTTAAGTGAATCCAGCTCCCCCCCCAGGGACTTTACTCGTCCGAAGGTTGCAAAAGTGGATCGCCTGACCCCCGGGAGACAGCGGCGGTCATAAGTACAAACCAGTACACAAGTACATAAGTACAAAGCCTCTGAATTTTGATCGCAGGTTCACGGGGGTGCTGCAGGGTGAAAAATGGTCATAAGTCACTTTTTTCCAGGGTGGATAAAAAATTGATTCATTTTTTTCAAATCAAAAAAGACAGTTTTTTTTTTAAAAAAAATCAAATTTATTTTAATAAAATGCTTTTGGAGTAAAAAAAAAAAATCTACCTAAAGACAGTTTTCAGTTTAAGATCCATTAATAATTTAGTTTATTCAGCATGAAGTGGAGCTCCGTTGTGTAGCGGGAGGAGGCTGTATATATGCTGCAAGATTTACCTTTGGGGTAAACTCAACGAATCCAAGCTCTGCAAGCTGAGATAACGTGCCCTGCCTTGATGCATTCCCACAATTTCACAGCAGAGATAGCAACGGCACTTAAGACTTACATACCGCTTTATAGTGCTTTTACAGCCCTCTCAAAGCGGTTTACAGAGTCAGCCTCTTGCCCCCAACAATCTGGGTCCTCGTGATGAAGTGAATGGTGGCTTTTCAAAAAATTATGATTTAAATTGAGTCAAGGAATCAAGGAATAACGGCTGGAAACTGAATAAGGAGAGGTTTTGCAACCTGGAAATAAGGAGAAACTTTCTGACAGCGAGAACAATCAACCCATGGAACAGAAGTTGCCCTCAGAAATTGTGGGAGCTTCACCACTTGAGACTTTCAAGGGGAGATTGGATTGCCATCTGTCAGAAATGGTGTAGGGTCTCCTGCTTGGGTGGCCAGGGGTTGGACTAGATGACCTACAAACTCCCTTCCAACTCTCTTCTTCTGTTGTTTTAGGGTCCCTGTCTGGCTCAGGTGAAATTAAGAACTCAAACATAAATAAGTGTGTGTCATCCAGGCAACTTAACAAAAAGCAGAATTCTGGAGACAAATTCCTTTTGTGTCTAATCATAGTTGGCCAAATAAAGCATTTTTCTTTTCTTTCTTTCCTTCTTTCCTTCCTTCCTTCCTCTTCCTTTCTTTTCTTTCTCTCTTTTCTTCCTTCCTTCATTTTCTTTCTTTCTCTCTTCTTCCTCCTTCCTTCCTTCCTTCCTGCTTTCTTTCCCATAAAATGTTTTTAGGATAGATTTGGGGGGATTATATGAATTGTTATAAAATAAACTAAGTGAATTATAGTTATCTCGCAAAGTATGAACGAATAAAATTATAGTCAAATGATTGTTTAATAGTGATACTAGGGTATTCAATCTTTGATTGATAATATGAGTCATCATGCAATGTAACTAATTGAGACTATGAAATGGATGCACAAAAAATTGGTAAACCAGCCGACACGCTGCTTGTGCATTTATGAAAGAAAGCTGGATGTTTTTATGTTTTGTTTGTTTTTGTTTGTCTTTAAAAACCAATAAAACTTGTTTAAAAAAAAAAAATGTCCCAGCACAGCAGAACAGCTGATGGTCGGAAAGGAATGAGTCGGGGCGGGGTGGGTTCCCCCGGGCCACGTGGGCGGCACAGCCTTGTGTTCCCACGCAGCCTGGATTAATTGCTTTGGGGGTGACATTTGTTTGCAGACCGCCAGTTGGCGACCACTGGTCTAGATGACCTACAAGGTCCCTTCCAACTCTGATTATCTGTTTATCTGAGTTGATTTAACTCCAGCTTTTTCTAGTAGTGATTTAAATCGTGGCTTAAATCGACTCGATTTAAATCAAATCCATCCTTTTTTTTTTTTTTAGTGCCATGGTGACTTCAAAGGGTCACTAAACGAACTGTTGTAAGTCGAGGACTATCCCACTGGTTAGAAATAACTCTTTTTTTTTCCCTCGTTTTTTTTTTTTCCCCCTCCAGGCCTGGTCCAGATCCCCGTGAGTATGTACCAGACGGTGGTCACCAGCCTCGCCCAGGGGAACGGCCCCGTCCAGGTAGCCATGGCCCCCGTGACCGCCAGGATCACCGACAGCACCGTCACCATGGACGGTCAGGCGGTGGAAGTGGTCACACTGGAACAATGACAGCCAGCCAGGGCCGGATGGTGACGCCGCGGCTTCTTCCTCTCTTCTCCGATTTTTTCTACCACCTCTCCGGAAATGCAATCAGGAAGCATTGGGAGTCTCACAACTTTGGACCATGCAACCCAGAGCGGGAAAAGGGCGTGTGCGCACATGGCGGGCGGGTCATTCGAGCGGATGCACCTCCTCCCACGGGAACGAGGAGGCTTGTCCGGACAGGTTACGCCCCGGCTTTCTTTGCATGGATCGCCCATTCCGAAGAAGGGCGAGGATCGGAAAGCTTTCCTGCCCTCTGTTTGTGAAGTCGGGGTCCAGGGCCCCTCCCACCTCCCTGGAGGACCCTCGCTGTTCCACCATTCCCACGGAGCTCCCCCCTGCCATCCTCACCTCCAGTATTTAGGGCTGTTTTTCCTCGTACGAATTTCCCACGAGGACAAGAACCGTCGATGGACGAGAATTTTCTCGCAAGGACGAGAACCATCGACGGACGAGAATTTTCTCACGAGGACGAGAACCATCGACGGACGAGAATTTTCTCGCGAGGACGAGAACCATCGACGGACGAGAATTTTCTCGCGAGGACGAGAACCATCGATGGACGAAAATTTTCTCGCAAGGACAAGAACCATCGATGGACAAGAATTTTCCCGCGAGGACAAATGCCATCAAGAAAAGACCCTTTGGGGGAAAAGACCCTTTTTTTCCCCCCCGTAAAGGCAGCCGAGCACATCGCATCTCCCGGAGGAGAGATGGTGATCCTGTTATCGGTCGTTTCCGGATCTGTGTCCAGGACTTTTTGGTAGCCAGGTGGGATCCGGACCGACCTCCATCCTGTTGGAAAGTCCATGTTTAAGACGGCTCGTCCAAGAATCCTTCGCTGACCTGTTTCGGCTTCTTTCCTCTTCTGCCCGCACAAGTTGCAAAAGGTCTAAAAAAATAAGAAGCAGGGGGCACGCTGCAAAGAGGGCAGCCCCTTCCTCTCAGTTCCTCTCCCCCCCCGTTTTTGACCCATGGACCCTCTAAACAGTCTTTCCCGCGGTGGTTTCAAAGGCCGCGTCAGCCATTCTGATTTTGGTTCCCTTTCCCATTAATGGCGCTCCTTTTTATGGATGGCGCCAGGCTGGAAGCCTTCCTAGAAATCCCCTTTCTCAGTGGGGCAGTCCTGGGTCTCTACCCCATGACCCATCATCCTTGCCAGTAGCTCTTGGCCCCTGGCATCCAAGTCCCTCGGTTCCCCCATCTCTCCTCCATCCGCCCTTTTTTCCTTTCCTTCTTTCCACCCTCCCTCTGTTTTCTCTCTCTCCCTCCTCTCCCTCTCTCCATTCTCTCTCTTTTCCTTCCTTCCTCTCTTCATCCCTCTTTCTTTTTCTGATATCCTTCTTCCCCTTCAATATTCTTTTTCTTCCCTCCCTTCTGTTGATTTCCTCTTTTCCTTTCTCCCTCCCTTTCTCCCTCCCTCTTTCCTTCCTCCCTTTCCTTTTCCCTTTCTTTCCTTACTCCCTCTCTTTCTCTCCCCTCCCTCCTTCTTTCCTTTTCTTCCTCCCTCCTTCCTTCTTTC